TTTAGGAAGACAGTTGTACTGATGTTTATGATGAGTTTGTTTTTGGAATCCCAGGCTGAGTATAGCTCAGAGACAAAATTACTGCTATCTCTGCAGTGATTCTCATCAGATCCTAGAATGTGAGTCCCGCCACTGTCTAGAGGAGTATTGGTCAGCTCCTCTGATAAATTTCTGTGGTTTCTCCTATCAATACCTCATGATGCCAGCATTCTATTCGAACCCGTAGAAACAGGCCACGGGCTGCATGTGATCTTTCCTTCCTCTTCCTTGTCCTCTCCTCTCCCCTTACACTCTCGCATGCTCTACTCTGCCATACATGTTGAGAGACCAGTCAGGAACAGGGAGCTTGTTCCTTGCTGGAGGATACCTTGCTGTGGGAGAAATTCCCAGCCAATGCATAGGTCACCCCCGGATCTCATCATCCAATGGGAGGAGAACACCGCCACCTCTCAGGATTCCCTTCTCTAATGGGACTAATGATTACAGCAGTTGATGAGCCAAAAAGCATCAATCAGTCAATTGATTTGGGGAACAATTGTACGAGTGCTGCTAGTACTATTCGTGCTTCTTTGTTTGTTGTGTATTTGCTTTGATAATAATGTTCATGTCATCTGTAAACATAACTATTTTATTGTCTTTTACAATCAGTCAGATCATTGATATAAGTAAGAAGTATATAGGTCCAAGGATTGATCTTTGTAGTATTCCACAATTAATTATTCTTGGTTAAGAAATATGGGTTGTAACACATTGAGTGTCATTCATATTAGAGCAATTAGTTTCACCCACGAGTCGAACTGTGATAATTATTCCGTGAAGAATATAAATGATTTGAAGATCACTGACGTTGCTGGGAAAATGCTGCAAATTGCAGGCCAAGCTGCAGATGTTTTATGTTTCACCTAGATGGCTCTTGAGCAATAAGACTACTGTCACAAAGCCACAGAGTGACTAGAATTTTTCTAGATGCTGAGACCATGGCAACCTCAAGTCCCCTAAGGGGGGTCTCAACTGAAGCCCCTGGCGACATCACGTCACTCACTGTGCATGTTGGTTTGGAATTAGTTTTAAACTTTTTTACGTTTAAACTTACTTTTTTTACTTTTATTACTGTCTAGACTGTCTAAGAAATAATATTGTAATTACTTGACCACAATTTGAAAGAAATCATTGATCCATTGATATGAAGTGCCTCTACTTCCTGAAAGTTTCAAGTTTTCACAGCTGTTTATCATTATCAATTATATTAAGTGCTGATAATAAATGTAGAAATAGTGATGAAAATTGATTTCTAATTAGAGTAACAAAGAAATGAGAAGTCACCTTGTATATCTAACATTTCTCAATTCGTGTTGGGCCTCTATCAGTATATTATTTGTATTAAGAAAGTTTTTATGTTTATCATTGGAATATTTTCTAGAAATTTTGATAATCCTTAAAGTAAGGATATTGACCTGTTATTCATAAGGTCATGGGTTTTATAATTGAAGGTTTAACTTGAGGTATTTTGAGAGTTTCTGGGAAGATGCTTGTCATCATGGAGTGATTAGAAAAGTTACTGAGGAGTATGGTAAACATTGCTCAATGAGGGAATCATTGGTACTATCCAATCCTTAAGACAATTTCCTTTTCTTTTTATTGATATTTTTTGTATTTCTGAGGGTGATGTTTCTTTGACATGAAATTTTCATATGGTGTTGTGAAGGTATTTGTCTGCATATTTATGTTATTTAAAGATTTTTCATGATAAATAAAGTTTTTCTATTATGGTCTTGCTATTTTCTGTGTATTTTGTTTCTGAAGGATTGTTTCATGTAATCACATTCCTCTCACAAGGTATTTTTATTCCTATGGTTATCCAGGATTTATTTTCACAAGATATTTTTATTCATAAGGTTAACCAGGATTTATTTTTTGTTATTATTGTTTGAAGCTTCTGAGGGAACACAGTATTAAAATAACTTAAGAACATTTGAAGAAGATAAATCTTGCTTTTATATTTGTTGTTTTGTATACCTCAACCGAGGTTTGTGAACTTATGAGAAAGTTAAATTTATTGATATTTCTGAGAATTTTTGTATTTCTCTATGAAACATTTTGAGAGTGAGTTTTGTGTCCTTTTCAAGTGTTAGAATATTGGATTGTGTATTTGCTAAATACTGTGCTGAATGTGACAACAGAGAGGTTGCTATCATTTGGGTCTATTATTGTTTGGTTAATACTGGTGTAATTTTTTTTAAACATATCTGGAGTTTGATTTACATTTATTTGTAAGTTGAAAAATATAAGTTTTTTTTAAATTTCTTCATCTTTAGACAGTTAATATTGACATTATCGATTAATAAAATTTTATAGTGGTTATGCCAATTAAGTTGCAAAATTGTAATTATTCCGAGTGTAATATTTCATTTAACTAAATAATAAAATTGCACATTGACAATGTTACAGCAATTTTATTTTTGCAACAAATTTATATGATGTAGAATTGACTTTCTGAATGCTACTCACAATCCCTCTGATAGATTATTTTTATGCTGGCAGAACACCAGCTGTCAGTCATTAGACTTTTAGTTTGAGGCTCAAATATCATGGCTAAAAGGTCACTGCACTATAAAAGACCATTGTATATTCTTGGAACAGCATGCTAACCAAAACAACCCAAAAATTATTTCCCTTGCTGAGCTTTATATTTGTATTTATTACAACTGTAGTATCAATCAATTTATTATTCTGTGGTAGTACATATTTTTTATAACCTGATTTTTGTTTTCAATTTTTATCAGTAGTACACAGTTCTCTTTCAAGGTTTTAATAAAGAAGGAATGCAGTTATGATGAGATGGAAAGAAAATTAGCAAATAAATAGAATTCACAGATTTAATTTCTTAATTCTGCCATAGCATGTAATTATCAGCTTTTATCTTTACTCAAACAGTAAATATTTTTACAATAAATATTACACCAACATACTACACTAACATATCACACATGTTACTAAACTGGAGAATTAATAAATTTAAGGACTCTTGTGATTGGCTATTGGAAGAATTTTGCCAGCATGATAAGTAGACTCTGGTGAATATTGTAATTATTCAAGAGTCATTCCAGGTGATAATCAAATGAGAACATCCTCCTTCCAGCCCTAAAATAATGTTATATTTGTTCTGTGGATTTGTTTGTAGTCATTTGGGAAACATTTATTTAGTTCAGAAAGCTTTGTAAAGGAAGAATGATATTGGAGATACAAGACAAACAAGTATAGCCTACATAAAAAGATGGAAATAAATATACCATGATGAGACCTCTTATTTGAACACATATGTAGGCTAACTAGAATCCTTATATAATGTAATATTCCTTGAAAATCTGTAATGTAGGCCCTAATTTTACTATTTCCCTCAGCATGATTTAGTAAAGAGATCAGGTGAAACTAAGCATGAATCTAATGTTATCATTATGTGGAATATACAAAGATATTAGAAAAATAAAAAACCCTCATTATGAAAGTTTCCACTCATATTAGAATAGAAAAAAGGGTCCTAATTCAACAAACTAAATATCAACACAAATACTTGTCTATCCAAGAGTTCGGGCTTCTTGGTAAACTAGGTAAAATGAATGTTGTAACTTCATGCAGCTCTGTAAGAAAGAAACAAATTGTACTTGGAACATTTATCATTGGGCTTATATTTTTCATTCTGTTGGAATAATAATGTATCTTGGATTATTTTGGTTGACCTAAAAACATTAATGAGCAAAAGTGGTACTTTAAGAAGAAAGTGGTACTCTCAAGTATGATAATTTTTTATAGATTACTACTTCATGAGAAGAAAATCAAACAATAATAAAACTGTCCAAAAATACCTATATAGATTGTTATGTATTCATAACAAAATATTTCATTAAAGTATTTCCTTACCTTTCAACTCTGCATTATAATTAAAATCTAATTTTCATGACCAAAATAAAAAATGGCGGTCACTGGTTTACAAAAAAGATTCTTGTATGGAATAATAAAGTTTGTATAATAATTCTTGTATTGGATAAACTTTTCTTTTTTAAATTGTGCCCAGAGGATAGAGTAAGCTCCAGGTTTGTTTCATTTTGACTAAAGAAGGTGTTAAAACCCACATTACCCTAGTTCTTTGGAGAATCTTAATTTTGTGTGTTCAGAGGCAGGTTGCTGTGAGAGTAATTTTTAATTACAAACTAAAGACTACTTGTTATGACTTTTGAAGATATTTATGGGAGATGCTCTAACTGAGAAATACTCCAAAAAAATCATTTCTGTTTTTTTGGGAAAATTATTTTTTATATACCATGGAGTTTTGCACTTAGCATAATTCATTGAATTAAGTAAAAAAGTGTGCATGTTAAAATGCATTCATAAAAACATCAATGCATAAAATGGTATATTAAACAAATGCCAGTTCAAATTTCTATCTAAAATACAATAGCCTTTCTTTTCAATAAATTATGGAACTCAAGGCAATTATAATTGCATCTTGCTATCTCAATACAAAATGCATTTAAAATTAGTATATCTGATATTATTAGATACTTAATAAATTCCATTTAAAATATTTCAAAAATATGAATCAAATAAGTTAATGGTTTCTTTAAGAGAATATATTTGACTTTTTTTCTTTAATTTTAATAGTTTCTGACTTTTAGAATTAATAATATGAAACATTACTCAAATGTGAATATAATCGTTTGCGAAGATTTACTATCTTCTCAGCAAAATAGTATTTTAAAAGTAAGCCATAGACAATTCTGTAAACAAAATGCCATAGAAAGAGAAGTCAATAGCTTTTGTTCTTCATCTTAATTTGTAAGCTTTCTTATAAAATCACTGAGGGAAAAATGGAACAGAAGAAAACAAACCCAAAGTTAAGTAGTGAAATATATTTTTCAACACAGAAATTTGCATTGTTACATTGCTGCCAATTCAGCAGCTGAGCACCAGCCATTCTAGTGTCCACATTTAACCACATATAATCAACATTTCACTGGATTTGTGTCAACACCTTGTACAATGGAAATGTAAAAGTTTTTGTAAATTAATGGCATTATTTCATCACTGACAAAATTTAGACTTGGTTTGGAACTAGAGAATGGGTTGCGAGATGGAGGAAGGATAATTTTCAGAGGACTGCACTGTTCCATTCGTGACACGTCAAGCGGCAGTTCTTCCGCTGTGTATGCTGTTACAACCACAGGCACATATGGAGGTCCCAACATTGCATTTATACTGGGTGGCCAAGTATCTGAATTGTCAAAACCAGTGCTTCTGTACAAGCCAGCATTAAAAGCACATATCAAATCTGGTTTACAATACTCTTTTGAATGCACATAATCATGATAAAACATTGCTGGTTGAAAATCATATACTACTGATCGTCCTGTTGAAGAACACTTTGCACAACACTTTCCACTGCGAAGCAGTTGTTCCGGAAGTATGTCCACATTCAATTCAGGACCCACAAACACTACTCTCAGAAATTTTAGTTGTGGGAGAAAATGCATAATGAAAATTTCCCATTTCTTCATTGTGTCGACCTCAAAATGTGCTTCTGCTCCTACAAGATGGATTGTGAGAGAGTTGATTACATCCAATGGAATGGTACTATTCTGGAGAGCAAATAGTATCGTCATTGGACATGTTGCAATGTCTGTTAGGACGGAATAAGTTAATGCTTTACTTAAAATACTGCTACCCATGAGACTTGAAAAGTGTTCATGCATATTTTTAGCTAATGGAGTGTAATTTATGGAAATGTTACTTGGAAGTGTGGGCTGTATCATCCCATTGTGACTTTGATATCGAATTAAGTCCGCATATAATTTGAAATCTTTACACCATTCACTATGATCAGATTTTAAATGATTAGGTTGACAAAAATACACATAGGAACATTTTTTGCATGCAGTCAGTTTGCTCAGATCACTTTCATAACAAGTGTGACACACTTTACAGAAATAAAACATTTCTTTCTCCCAGAGTTCCAGGTCACGACCTAACTCTCCTACAGCTTGGACAATGTAATGAACGCGTACATGGCGGAATGCTTCTGGAGACAAGCCTTTTGACTTTTCAAAAATATGACTGACCCTCTCTACTTGGCATATTCTGCTAATAACTTGACACAGATCTTTGTGCACAGGCCAGTGTTCTTTCCTATGCTCTTCGGAACAATAAGATATCATTTTACACTGATCACAAGTCCGGAGAGGTCCATTTTCCTTGTTGTACAATGCCTTGCAGATGTGACAGGCATGTGACAAAAACACTGTTCTCTGCACTATGTCATACTCAAGTTCATCATCACTGTCAGTCATATGATGGGGATCAGTATCTGGCCGAGGTCCTTCTTTTGCCTTTACAAGCAACTGTAAGCACTTCGTCAATTGGTCCACATAAGCATCAGATGGTTTACTTGGTGGAATTTCTGGAAAAGGGAGCTGTTGAAACATAGTTTTCCCATCAGGTTGCAACATTTTATTTTGCGTGTGGTGTGGTTTTTTTTCACTGGAATGGCTGCCAAAATTAAGGTTTTTAATCATGTTGGGAGGTTGAAGTTTTTTTTTTTCCTGAGATTGAGGTCCTTCCTCTCCACTCTTCCCCTGTGGAGCAGGAGGGGCTGTGGGGGCGGCAGGAGCCCCCTCTTTTGCAGCGCCCTCTGCAGATCCTCCAGCCCCTGCGGCAGCTGCAGCCGCCGCCTTCTTCTTGCGCCTGTTTCTCTTCTTAGCACTAGCACTTAGACCTTGCTTAGGCTGATCTCCCGAGCCCGCATTACCTCCAGATTGAGATTTCCCACCTTCAGCTGGTGCAGCATCTCCTCCCTTCTTGCCTTTCCCCCTTCGTCCTCTTTTCTTCTTCTTTGAGGTGGTCGTGTCTCCTTCACCTGCTGCTGCTTCATTAGCTTCAGCGGCTGGTACGTTTTCAGCCTCTGCAGCACCACTTGCTTGTTCTTCTTTAGTTTGGCCTTCTGTTTTATTGTCGCCTTCCTTCAAAACAGCTTTGTTGTCACCTTTTGTTGCCACTTTGTTGTCAGGTTTGTTCTCTTTGTTTTCACCTGCTTTGTTTGCCTTTGAATCAGGCTTGGCGTCTTGCTTTTTTGCTCCTTTGACATCAGCTTTGCCGCCTCCTTTCTCTGCCTTCTTATCTGCCGATTTGTCCTGGTTCCCTGCTGGTTTTTCGGTCTTAGGTGGAGCTTTGTCGGGTTTCTTCTCTGCACTCTTAGCGGACTTTTCTGCAGTACCCTTTTCTGTTTGATTTGCAGGTACTTTTTGTTTGTTGGCGTCAACCTTTTCAGCTGCCTTCTCTTCCGCCTTGGCCGGAGCTCCTTTTGTCTTTGCTGGAGTTGCCTTATTGTCTTTTCCAGCAGGAGCCTTATCAGCTTTAGCTCCTTCTTCGGGTTTAACGGGTGCGGCTTTCTCAGGTGCCTTATTGTCCTGCTTGCCCCCGCCAGCTTTCTCGGCGGGTTTATCTGTCTTGGCCGCCGCGTCCGCAGACGGCTTTTCGTCCGGTTTGTTAGCTTGGGGCTTTTCGGCCTTCTCGGCTTTTGGCGATGCTGGCTTTTCAGCTGGTTTTGCGTCGGGCTTGGCAGCGGGTGGTTTGTCTTCTGCTTTCTGGTTCTTAACTGGTGCTGCCTTTTCGCCTTTGTTCGCTGGTTTCTCAGCGGCCTTGTCGGCTTTAGCGGGTGCCTTCTCTTCAGGCTTGGCAGCTGGAGCTTTGTCAGCCGGTTTTTCTTGTTTTGAGGGCGGGGTTTTCTCAGCAGGCTTCTCGGCCTTGCCGCCTGCCTTATCGGCCGGTGGCTGTTTTCCGGCCGGGGCCTTCTCGGGTGCTTTCTCGGGCTTAGCTGCAGCAGGCTTGTCAGAGGCTGGCTTAGCAGGCGCCTTGTCGGATGCTTTGTTGGCGGCAGGAGCTTTTGCTTCGGGCTTCTCCT